GCTGAAGGTACCAGGGCCCTGGTGCATAAGTTATCAGATATGTGATGTGTGAGTTACCATACTATTCATACAAAAAAGTTATCGAGTGTATGTTTACATTAGTATTTTTTTTGTAAAAAAAGCTATGACGATATTTGTACATAAGCTATCAGGTTTTGGTACATATAATTATCAATCTCATTACAAAAGAATTTACCGAGATATCACAAATGAGAAAAAGACCGTTGTTTGAATTCTATAGGAGTGAAACATTTATTTTTCTAGAAAACATTCATCACTACAAAAAAGAGACAAGTGGAGTACAAAACACGTTGCATCGGCCTTTTAAAAAACTTGGAGCAAATGGTTTTGTCTCCTCATCAAAGGTGTTGTGGTCTTTCTTTCTCGTTCTCATTTACTAAGGTAGAAATACAAATTAACCCACGAATGAAACAGAAATAGGCGGTTAGCTCAGCTGGTAATGCGTCGTGGCGGCAACTGACAGGTCGTGTGTTCGAATCCTAGCAGTGGCACTATTTTTCCAAAGCTCTTTTTACGCGCCAGAGAAGAAAAGAAAGATCAAAGGAAAAAAAGCGATCGTGCGTGCCTGTCGCAAACCACCAGTCGACTGGTGGATAGATTTGTCGTTTTGTTAAAATTATGCCCACTACTCTTACATTACTAACATGTGCTGCTCTAGGTGTCTGCAACAAGTTTTAGACCATACAAATATCTGTCAAATGTTCATTGTAAAAAATATATTAAAATATGTTTATTATGCAGGATGATGCCCACATATTTTGTCTCGAAGACCAGATAAAAGATGAAATTAGAGGAGTTCTTGATTTAACTGAAGAAATACTGGGGCAGTTTGGCTTCCGGAATTATGAGGTAAACCTTTCAACCAGGCCAGAAAAATCTGTTGGCAGTGACGACATATGGGAAAAGGCAACAATTGCTCTGAAAGACGCACTAGATGATAAAGGATGGGGATACACGGTTGATGAAGGGGGAGGTGCTTTCTATGGTCCAAAAATTGATTTGAAAATTGAGGACGCTCTTGGAAGAAAATGGCAATGTTCCACTGTGCAGGTAAATTATATATTTTTCTACAAAGAATAAGCAAATTCGTGGATTCTTTGAGGGGAAAGGGCATATAAGATCATTCGGTTTTCATATATTTTAGGTTGACTTCAATTTGCCTGAACGGTTTGACATCACTTATGTTGACTCGCATACTGAGAAGAAACGGCCTATCATGATTCATAGAGCCATCCTTGGGTCTTTGGAGCGCTTTTTTGGCATCCTCATTGAAAACTACGCTGGTGATTTTCCACTTTGGCTTGCTCCAACCCAAGCCCGTATTCTACCTGTCACAAACAATGAGGTTTGCTCCCTTTACCTTGCATTAGTTTCACTTGTTAAACCAATATTTTTACCTTGTACTGTAGTAGATTTGTACAAAGTAAAGAAGGTACTGTATATCTAGGTGACCCTAGGCAGGACAGCAACATCCTTTTATTTGTTATTTGCACGGCACACACATATCAGATGCTTGATTTTGTTAGCACCTCTTACGAAGCCATGACATCTTCCTTTCATGTTTTCAGCTGCAGTACTGCAATGAGGTGGCTTCAGAACTGAAATCAAGAGGTATCCGCGCCGAGGTATGCCACGGCGAGCGTCTGCCGAAGTTAATCAGAAACGCCGAAACACAAAAGGTGCCGCTCATGGCGGTCGTTGGCCCCAAGGAAGTCGAAGCTAGGACTCTCACCATCAGGTCCAGGCATAACGGGGAGATGGGCACCATGCTCGTCGACGATTTCATCAGCAAAATCCAATCGGCCGTTGCTGACAAATCTTCGCTGTAGATACTCCAGCCTGTTGAACTTCAGTTCATATTGTAGAGCACTAGATCTTTTGCTGCACATACACCATACAGCGCCCACCGGAGCGCTTCTGATGAAACTGAGCGACGGAGGTCCAACAATTTTGTGCAGAATCGCCATCACCACACACTATATAGTCAGCAACAGAAGCCCAGCATTCTTCATTGTACATAGTTTGTGACCACATTCCAGTGCAAGTTTTCAGCTAGACCTTGTTGCACAATCACGTCGATAATATTACACAAATGAGTGGACTGCAATCTGCACTGCACCTGCACATCATTGGCGTTTCATGAATCTCCAGGCAGCGGCGATCTTGATTAGACCGGCGAAACCCAGCAGGATGGACGCGCGGGCGTATTTGCTGCGACGTTTGCCTGGTCGGCAGACAAACTGTAATGGCCACTTGCTGGCTTGCTGCTGCACAGCGAGCAATTGTGTGCGGTGGTGAGTCGTTAAGTCGTGCCGCCGAGATGAATTGGTCTGTCTGCGCCTGTGAGGCGGGGGACCCGACCCGACCCGACCCGACTGATTGGGGCATCACTCGCGCTCGCTCCGGGTGGGACGGCGTCGTGCGGATCTATGATTGGGGCGTGATGGACGGACCGAATTTTACCGGGCAAGTCGACAACACCTGGGACAAAAACCTGCAGGCTGGAGGACACTGGGATAGGTAACTTCTCCACCCCAGATCAGATCTTCACTTGCCCCGCGACGTCAGTAAAAGATCTAGAGGCAGCATAAAGTGGTGGGACCACGTAGCAGAGGAGCGCATGCTCATACACACACAAGAAATGTGGATTACCTCTAGAGATAGAGGTAAAGCCTTTTCAGCTATTTGTAATTCGCGATTTATAATTACGAAACGCGCCACTTCTAGGTCAGGATTGCTAAAGGGAAAATTAATTACGTCAGAAATGAAGAGACAGTACTCCCTCCTTCCATCTATATAGGGCCTAATGCGTTTTTTGAGACTAACTTTGACCAAATGTTAGAGCAATAATATATGACATGCAACTTAAACAAAGCACGCCGTCAAATTCGTAAGTGAAAGGAGCTTTCAATGATATAATTTTCACATTATGCATGTCATGTACTATTAATCTTGTCAATAGTCAAGAGCGGTCTTGAAAAACGCATTAGGCCTTATATAGATGGAAGGAGGGAGTAGATCTTTAGACAAAAGGCATTCTTCCTTTGTACTATTATTAAATTAAAAGCCCACATCGAATTGAGCAAGTTTGCTTGGTTTGCCAGCTAACAAATTATGCGCGGCACCATTTTTCGGTTGCATTCACAGCAATGTTTTTTTTCTTCTTTTTGAGAAACACAGCAATGATCTGTGAGATACGGAAAAGAAAAAGGCCCATTAATCTGCACTAGCTCGACTATATATAGATATATTTTTAGCAGGAACTCGACTCTATCTACGAGCAGGGGTTCTCACACACATGATCATGATCAATCAGCAATAAAACGCCCCAACTAACGCTAGTACAGTTGTACCAGCGCGTGCCGTGCCGCGAGCGGGAGGGCTTCTTCAGTCGTGACCATCACGTCGCCTCCACCACTCCGCTCCCCTGGTCTCCTCCCTCCCTCCCTCCCTCCACCACCACCCTCGCTCGCGCAGAGGAATTAAAACCTCCTTATCCTCTCTGGCGCGCTGCTGCCATTGCATTGCTAGCTGCCTGGATCCAACCGTCCCGTCCTTCACCCCTTGGCTCTCTCTCTCTGATCCGCGCGCTCTCTTTTTGGAGCCTTGCGCCGCGCCCCTTTCTCCCTGTCCAAATCTGCTTCGACGTTCCTCTACCAGCGTGTTCTCTCCTTTTGGTGCCCCCCAGCGAGCTCTCGGTGCCCGTGCCGCCTCCATCCACCGTCCGCGCCTTTTTGCCACGCTCTCCTCTTTTTGTCTCCACCTTCTTGGCTAGCCGTTGAAGGGGCAGCCATTGTTGCGCAGCTGGTGAGGCGAGGAGGATGTCGTCCGCGGTGGAAGCCATCTCCTGCTCCAAGGTCGCCGACATCGCCGCGGCCGGGCTTGCGGAGGCCAAGGAGTGCGCCGCGGCGGTGGCGGAGCACGGCGGGGCTGACGCTGCGGCCGCGGCGACGAACGGGAAGAAGTGCGGCGGCGACGTCGCGGCGCCGCCGCATTGCGGCAAGGGCGAGCTGGAGGAGGACGACGAGGACGGCGAGAAGGTCCCCGAGCACATCGACCTCGGCCCCATCCTCAGCATCAAGGACCAGCTCGAGAAGGACAAGGTAATATGTTAGCATGCGCCGCATTCTCGCGCCATCGCCGGAATTGTTCTCTCGCTGCTGCACCTTGCAATCGCATTCGCTGCTGCCGCTGCTGCTGTCGACCGATGGATCGATTGATGCGACTCCTTTTCTTCGTTGCAGGACGACGAGAGCCTGAGGAGGTGGAAGGAGCAGCTGCTTGGCAGCGTGGATCTGAACTCCGTGGGAGGTAAACCTCTGCAACCATGCAAGAACTTCTCGGCCGGCCAAATCGATAGTTGCTTGCGTTCAATTGTCTTGTCCTCGTGAATCCTGCGTGATGGCGGGCACCACCACCACCAGTACGTGTACGTAGGACACCAGCACTTGCGCAGTTTGGCATGTGAGCACCGCCGTGTTCCGTCGTCAACACGCACGGCCCCGTGAAACCACCCGTTGCTTTCCGTGCTTAATTATAGAGCGTTTTCACGACTCCGTCTGTGCACCGGCCGGCCGGCCGGCCGTGCGTAGTAGTAGTATTCAACAGTAGAACTGGAGCGGAGAAAATTTTAAAAGGTGGTGGGCTCCGTTGGCTAGGTCGGCCGGACGGCTGTCCTGCCTTGTCCTCCCGTGCTAATCATTTCGTAGGAAAAAAAAACACATGGAGCCCTCTTTTTCTCGATTGCACTGGTCTGGTCCCTCCCCGTATGTTGCCGTGCATCGTTGAACTATTGTGCCTTCGCCATTGACGATATGCATTCAGAATTTCAGGCTTCAGATACAGGGTAGTACTGATATAGTATGAGTAGTGCCTTGTTGCTGCCCTGAAAGTGATGTATCCGGGGAATAATGCATGATTTGTCGTGGTGATAGCCAAGTCTTTGTGACTTTTGGTCCAATTATGACCAGCACGTCTTTGCGGGGCGTAATTGATGGAAGGCGACCTTGTTTGTCTAACATAACAGCATAAACCGTTAAGCACGTTGTTCATGTTTTTAGGAAGGCATTTCTTCCTTCAGAATTTGGAATTTACAACGCTCCGTTATTTGATTGGCGTGACATTTCGATGTGAGACTTGAATGCACGATGATTGATTGATTGGTTGGTGCAGAGACGCTGGAGCCGGACGTGAAGATCATGAGCCTGTCCATCCAGTCCCCGGGCCGGCCGGACATCTTCCTGCCGCTGCCGGTGGAGGCCAGCGGCAAGGGGGTGTGGTTCACCCTCAAGGAAGGCTCTCCGTACAAGCTCAAGTTCACCTTCTCCGTCAGCAACAACATCGTCTCCGGCCTCCGCTACACCAACACCGTCTGGAAGACCGGCCTCAAAGGTGCAGTAGCGAAAACCAAACCAATGAAACCGATCGATGAGCTAACGAATTGTGATGGTTTGGTGGTGCAGTGGACAGCGCCAAGGAGATGCTGGGCACGTTCAGCCCGCAGCCGGAGCCGTACGCGTACGTGACGCCGGAGGAGACCACGCCGTCCGGGATGTTTGCCCGGGGATCCTACTCTGCCAAGACCAAGGTAACTAAACGATGATAGAGTTTACTTATTCAGAGATACTCATGCTAGTTGCTTCGGGATTCAGAGTCGTCAGCGTTAATTTGTTTCTCTCCGTCTTGGCAGTTCCTGGACGACGACCGGAAGTGCTACCTGCAGATCAACTACACCTTCGACATACGCCGGGAGTGGCCGTCGTCAGGCTGAGCCCGACCTGTGTGGCCGCCGTGTAGAAGTGATACGTGCCTGCCTGCCTGCCTGCCTGGGTTACTGCTGTTGCCGTTGAAGCAGATCGGTCTTTGTTTCGTTTGCGTTTTACTACCTGTTTTTCGTGGTTGCCCTTAGGCTCTTGTCTCCTGTGGTGCGTCCGTGCGTGCGTGTAAATTGGTTCGGTTTATGTGTAATGCCAGTGCGTCCCCGTGTGTGTGTGTGTGTGTGTGTGTGAGAGAGAGAGAGAGAGAGAGAGAGCGCCTTGCATGGGTCTGTTTTGAAGAACGAACTGTAATGCTGAGTTCATGTAATGCACCGGAGCAACGCAGCTGCACGCACTTCGTGTAACGCTCAAGAAAGAAAAGAATACCTGCCACTCACTTTCTCAAGGTTGGAATTCATCTTCTGACCAGCGACTTTTGTTTGTCATGTGTAAGTGGGATTGTTTTGGCTTCGGACTTAGTGGAGGATGCTGGTAAGTTGCTAATTGCCTAACTTCCACATGGACATGGTGGTGCGCACACCGGAGACCGGCCGGTTCGTGTGCCCGACGGACGCAGTGAACCAAGAGCAACATTATACTGGCCGAGAAATCGCCTACAGCTGAATCAATGGCGTGTCGGGTGTGCTCGCCCATTGGCGCACACATGGTTCGCTAGCTCCACGAGCCTACTACGATTTCTGTTCTCCATCACCTTTCTTTTTCACTATGCACGGTTTGAAAAATGTTCACAAAGTAGAAAATTTGTTAGCGAAATTAAAAATTGTTCATGAATTTGAAAAAGGGGCCACAACATAATAAATAAAATCTTGAATTTTTAAAAAGTTTGTAATGTTAAAAAACAATTGGGTTCGAATCAATGTTCATGAATTTAAAAAATGTTTGTGACATTCAAAAAATGTTCATGAATTTAAAAAATGTTTGTGACATCCAAAAAATGTTCATGAATTTAAAAAATGTTTGTGACATCCAAAAAATGTTCATGAATTTAAAAAATGTTTGTGACATCCAAAAAATGTTCACGGAATTAAATAATGTTGCCGGATTCAAGAAATGTTCACAGAATAAAAACTTGTTCATAAATCTGAAAAATATTCCCGAATACGAAATACACCTAGGGAATTAAAACATTATTGTGAATTCAAAAAAAGTTTGTGAATATGAAAAATGTTCATGAATTTGGATTTTTTTGGATTCAAGAACATGTTCGTGAATTCAAAATTTACTTTTGAAGTCATAAATTAAAAATTAATTCAGGAATAAGAATAATATTCACGAATTCAGAAAACTATTCGCAAATTCAAAAATTATTTAGGAATTTGAAAAATATTCATATAAATGCAAATAATGAAAAAACCAGAAGGAAACCAAAATAAGCTATGGAGAACATAAAATGAAAAACAAATAAAAAAGTGAAGCACAAAGAAAAATTAAAAGTAGAAGAAAACCAGAAACAACAAATGGAAAAAACAAAAAAGCCCATAAACATAAAGAAAAACGAAAAACCAGAGAAAACACAAAGAGCAAACGAATAAAATACCGAAAAAAATCAGTGTGAAAACACATGGAAGCTTCCCAATATAATCCTAGAAGGTTCCAAAACTGTTCCCTCATAGAACAAACGCTTCGCACTTCCCAAATTCAAAAATTATTCAGGAATTAAAAAAAGTTCATGAAAAAATGTTCGCTCATATCATACCCTACGTAACAAGCGAGTGCTATGATACGTATCACTATAAGATATACATATCATTTGCGACTGTTATATCTCGCTTGCTGCAACACCACTGTTGCAGCACTCGCCAACCCGCTTTTTTGAGTGGGCCGGCCGAACAGGGGTTGGTTGCGAGCGGTTTTTGGCGCACTGGTTTTTAGAACCTTTTGTTTGGATCTGCAATGATTTTGATGGTTTCTTTTCCTTTTTATCTTTTCTTTATGTTTTCCTTAAATCATTTTTTCATTTTTTTCTTTTTTCACCCTTTTGTCTATCCTTTTCAAATTTATGAATTGATTTAATCCTCTCAGTTTTAGTGTACGACCATTCTGCTACATGTCACGAACACTTTTTAAAAATTGCAGGAAGAAATTATATATTTTCATGAACATTTTTCCAAATGGCACAAGCAATTTAATATATGTAGTATGAGTGTTTTATAAAAATTAATCAACTGAAATTTTAAAAATTCATGAGCATTTTCAAAAATATGAACATATTTTTAAACATGTAATGTTTTTAGAAATGCCATGACTTTTTTTGAAAGGTATGAAGACTTTTAGAAATCGTGCGAACATTTTTTACATTTCCATTTTCTTGTAAATATCATGAAAATATTTTAGACGTGTGAACATTTTTCAAATGTCCGGATTTATTTAATGAATTGTACACACATTGTTTTAAAATTGCTCGAGTAAAATTTTAGGTTCCAAGAACCATTTTTTATGGATCGGTAAACATTTTCTTAATACTCAATAAACATTTATTTTACATGACAATTTTTTTCTTAATAGACGATGAGAATTTTCACATAAAATTAGTGAGATAAGCAAATAGGTATGATGCAAAAAATTTAGAAAAAATAAGTGTTGTAGTGATGACTTTAATCCTAGTTGAGGTCCCACCTCCTATTCTACATGGCTTGCCATGTGGAGAGTCAAGATTAGTTAAAGTAGTCGACAATAGTCGAAGCCATCCCTCATAGGTCAAGCAAGGCTTAATGGTTAACAAGTCAACATAACAAGACCAGGTAAAAGAATAAGCCTAAGATAAATCGTAAGGAGCTAAGAGGCCCGAGACCAAGCAGGGAAGCCCCCAAATAGCGTAGGGATTCTTCCCTTACTGGGGCACAACCCACCTGCTAACCCAACTAGGGGCACATGGGCATATGGGTCAATAATAGAAAATTACCTAGTTCTAACCACCCCAAAAAAAACCTAGTTCTACCCTCGCACCAGCTTACATCAAGGGTAACATTGGTCATTTGTCAAGGACGCCTGGTCCATATACCCGCCCTCCCGGCATGTAAATCACTCACTCACACTTGAATAAACTCAAGAGGCGGGTCATTATCCCCTAAAAAAACTCAAGAGGAGGGTCACTCTTCCCTGCTACCTCTCTCAAAAGAGCTGGGAAGGTTGAGATTTAGAGTGTGAGGGACCTTCCAAGGCCCAGACTAGTCGGGAGTCGTGGGACTTAGAACGACGATACTCCAAGCGTTCTACGCGTCAGGCACCACTCTCGACGATCATCCCATAAGACGTAGTCTGTGCTCCCACAACGCCCGGGTTACTACTATTACCGTTGAAGCAGATCGGTCTTTATTTCTTTTGCGTTTTACTACTACGTACCTGTTTTTTCATGGTTGCCCTTAGGGTTATGTTTCTTGTGAGCGTGTGTAAATTGGTTCGGCTGATTGTACGTCGTAGAGGCCATTCGTCCGTCCGCGTGTGTGTTTGAGCTTTGCCAGGGTCTGTTTTGAAGAATGAACTGTGATGTTGAGTTCATGTGTAATGCACGAGAGCAACACAGCTGCACGCACTTCGTGTAATGCTCAAGAAAGAAAGATTATCTACCACTAAAATTCTAAAGGTTAGAATTCATCTTCTAACCAGCGACTTTGTTTTTCATGTGTAAGTGGGATTGTTTTGGCTTCGGACTTTTGGAGAGGGTGTAGGGGAGAGTTAAATGCACCGACTCACCACTGTCATGTCACGATTAGCGTAAAACCACCAATTTATGATTCATGACATTTTGCATTGAACCGAAAATTTGTGAGTGGCAAAAGGCACCGAGCTAAAAACTGAGCTTGTTTTGACGTGGTAAAGCGGTCGCGTGGCTAGTGGTGGACAGACCAAGCAGTAATGGCTATTAACGGCCATAACGACTGAGTTGGTCGACCCGTCCCCAAAAATGAAATGGTTCACACTCTCCCCTGCCACTCTCACTCGCTCCCCTCTGGGACGCCGCCTCCCAGCAGCGCTGCGGGGGTGTAATGCTTTCTTGGAAAGATGGGGAGGAGAGTAGGGACGATGATGACATGCTACACTTTGCTGGGGAGGTAATGCCACCGCAGCTGTTGTACTTTGTTTGATAGCCTAGGGTTAGGGTTATGGATTTTAGATTGGGGATTTTATTTTTGGTATGATTTGGTCAGGATCCAGTGCGTTTGACCACTCCAAATTCCTTTTGAACTCAATCTAGCTACTCCTAACCATAGATGACTCAGACTTTGAAGGCGATATGGTGACAGAGGAGGGCCCAGTTGAGTGCTACCATCGGAAAATAGCCAATATATTTGTAGCATTTGAAGGTGGCATTAGTGGAAGGAGGTTTTATGGATATGGTGAGGAAGTAAGTTGCAATGCATGTCCTGCTTTACTTATCTGAAATCCCATGTTAACTCCTCTGTTCTCTAGCTGTTTGCATTCTGTATTAATTTAGTTATTTCTGTTGTACCATTGTAATGGTTAATGGTCACATTGGTCTGAAAAAGAGCTTAGGCAGAGATATCCTTAATCAGAGATATCCTAAAGATTGTTGTGCTGCTAGAACTAATGAAGGGGTTGATCATGCACATTTACTGCTTAAGCTTGAAGATCGGGTTAAGACTGCAAACATACATTGCAAGAACCTTATTGCTGATGTTAACAAAATGCTCAAGCAATGTGCAAAAGACCTATCAAGAAAATTACAAGAAAATAATGTCATAGGACAATGAAGGTTTGGAGAAGTAGCTGGACCAGAAGCATTATGTCATAGAGAATATGAAGGCCATTCATAATGCACAAGGAGAACTGATCAGGAACCTAAGGACTGAGCTGCATGAGCTGCGGAAGGATAGGGATATCAATGGACTCAAGAAGAAAATGTATGTGCTGAAGAGTGACCTCAAAGACCACAAGAAGGATAGGAAATGGCTAAAGAAGGACCAGATTGAGGTGATGCAGGAGAGAGATGAGTTGAAGATGGAGAAGAAGAATCTGGAGATAGCCATTTTGT